ATAATTAATTAAAATTATAATAAATAACATAATATATAAAATAATAATACAAAAGAAACTCTCACCCTCTCTTCCTCTCTGGATCGGCCAAAGACCGGCCGAAGGAGCGCGCAAAGGGGAGAATGGCGAGCTCCCGTTGCTGGCTTCTGATCCAACAGACAGGAAATGTCGTCGAGGAGCGAAATCGAGCAGCCCGAATGAGCCGAAGAGGCGTTCGAAAGGGAGAAAGTTATCTTTACAGCCCGCGAGCTCTCCTGGTCTTTGTGTCCGATATCAAAATGTTTCGCAACTTCCGATCCCGACAGGAAGGAAAGTCGTGCAAGGGTCGAAGTCGAACGGCGTCGAAGGAGCTGGAGAAGCGAGTCCGGCTTGTTGCTTCCGATCAAAGCAGGTAACTCCCGATCCTACAGGGAGTGGAGTCGGGAGAGAGCAGAGCGTGAGCGATTGAGCGCGAGGGAGAGGCCGAAGGCCTCATCCCTTCGTCCCTTTTAACGACGCGAAGTTGTGCCGAGAACGTGGGGCGTGGAGCTCGAGCGATGTGCGACGTGGGAAGAGGTCGTGCGACGTGCTTCGGCAGAGTAGGTAAGATTTTGATTTTTTTTTTCTTGGATACGGGAAGGGTCAACAATTTTTCTCTCATTGTATGTGGCTACACCCTCTTCATATTTTGAGACTAATGAATAATATTATTAAAAATTTCAGCAAGTGAGTTCTGGTGAGAGCTGAGAGTTTTTGGAGTGAAATTCCTAGGCGAGGGAATCGGATCAACCACCAGCCGCAGGAAGCTTCCGGGCTCGTGGTTATCTTCTCCTTCCTTCCTCCCCTCCTCTTCCTCCTTCAATCCGTCGGCCTCCCCACTAGATTCATCCACATTAATTGCCGGCCATATCACCTCCATAGCCGCCGACCAAGTAGCTCCACCTCTCCCTTCTCCTAATCGTCGCCCCTTCCTTACCCCATCTCTAACTGCTAACTAACCTAATTCCCAAACCCCCGCCACCACCTAACCTAATCCTAATCCCAAGCCACCGGCCCAATCCCTTGCCTCCACAATTCAAATTCCTATTTTGATTTACTTCCATATGTGATGAACCTTAACTAGGAAAGTTAATTTCAGATTTCAAATCAATTTGAATTTTGAAATTCTTTTGTAAATTAAGTTGATCTATTTTAGGAAAGTTACTTAAATCAAGCCCAATTGAATTTCAAATTGGATTTGATTTAAATTAATGATTCCCAATTTGAGGTTCTTAATTAGGCAATCCTAAATCCTTTCTCCAAAAGCCCACTCAAGCCCTAGCATGCCGCCGGCCCCTTGTCCCCCTTCCCTCTCCCTTTCACATTAAATTCCTACCTTCTTGAGAGCATCAATTAATTCTCTCATCAAGGATTACCTTCCTTTCTTTCCTCTTGTTTAAAATTCAAATTACATAACCCCAAATCCCTCCAAACAAAAAATCTGAAACTATTTTCAGATTTTGGAAATTTCCTTTCTCCTCCCCTATTAACTGTCGGCCCTCCCACCTCCTCCTTCACTTCCTCTCTCCCAAAACAATTCCTAAACCCCAATTCGAGGTTTCCAAGTTGCTGTCCAGATTTTTTGAGCATTGTTTGGGGGCTATCCAAAACATTTCTGCACGTTTCCTTGCTGTCCAACTGACCGGGAGATCATCATTGGCAGCACGGAAGTTCACACCAAAATCTATTGTTCCCTCATGCATGGCGGATCCCGAACTTGATCACTGATTCTTTTTCGACGACCAAGGCCACGTCGACATCCTTAACTCCCCTTTCTTCGACCTCAACCTCAAGGTTGACCAAACCATTCAGGATTACGTGGAGAGAATTATCTTCACCCTCGCTGAAGCTATCGACGAGCAACTTTCTTCTGTCTAATGGAAGATTGTCTCCAAATCAAAAGCAAGGTGAATCTTTCCCCTAAATCTTTTCCTATATAACTCTTACCCCAACTTGTGGTCTTAAATTGATTCATTAAGGCCATGTCAAGTATCTCCACTGAGCCTAGTAATCTAGAAAGTGATTGAAGGACTCTTCGTAGCGAATAATCTCATTGCTAGCATAGGGATTTCTTGTTGGAAATCTTTCATGTATGTTATGTTTTGAATCATTGATTATTTTTTTATCATAACTTCTAGTCGTGTGACTTGGCCTAAGCTAGTCTCTCTCTTTCTTGTTTTATTCCATCGTTTAATCACTACAAGTATTTTAGTTAATAAAGCTCTCTAAATTAAATTATTCAAGGTTCTGTTCTAACATCGCTAGGCATTTAAGTCCTGCAACAAAAAGTTTATTAGAATAGGATAGAATGATAAATAAAATTAAAAGTGATCTCCGAGTAGAGCAAGCACAATAGAAGGTAGAAAATGTAATAATAAGAAGGGTAAATAGAATCAAAGATTACACGTTTATCCATTATGGAAAAAAACATTCTATAAACAAAAGTCGACACTTGAAGATGATAAACAAAAGAGAAATGGCATGCTACTGGCGACATGCAGCATTGAAGATGAATTAGTAAGAAAGATTGATGATTACAATGCAAAATAGTTGAGATAACCTAATGACGATGACACCTGCAACTTTATTTTTCAATGATATTTGGCTAATAATTACAAATTTCAAAACTATTAAAATTATATATCATACACTTTTTATGACTAATCCAAAACCCTTCAAAAAAAAAATCTCAGTTGTTCAAACTTTCCATTTACTTCAAAGGTAGCGCCAATCATAGTAATGTCATTAAAAAAAAAAATCATGCACTAACTTATTTCATGATGAATATCTACGTATAGGTATTACTATGGCAAATATAAAAAGTGTGCACATAATTATGATTCTTAATATAACTCAACTTTGATTGAGAAGTCTCAAGTCACTCCACGACCACTAATGTTAGTCACAGCACCATCAATTCCATCATAAAGATCAAATAAATTCAACCTATCTTAACACATTTCGCCGTAATGCCCACTCGCAGTGCTCTTTCATGTACCTTTTTCAGCCCAAAAAATTAAAACCTATGAAGCACCTTTGGTAGCTCTCTTTTCTTCTATTTTAGTTAATTCTGCATAATAATTACCAATACAATAAAACTTTCTAATATAAAATCAAACGAACTCTCATACAGAGAATTGATTTTTCTCAGCCCGTGTTCATCTAGCCATTACTTCATAAAAAACTTTTTTTAACCCCTTTCAGTTATCATAATCTTGAACATTCTATTTATTCTAAAATACCACTACCGATATATTTCTTATATAATCATTTAGAATCCATGTATTCTTTAGGATATTACTAAAACATACTACAATATCTCCAACAATTCTCCAAATATAAATAACTATATAATCTAATTAAGAAACTCCATCTTTAAACACCTTCAATCTAACTCAATTTCATTCCTTCACATAAATCTGTAATATACTTCACAATTCATTCAATTCAATTTACTTTCCAAAAATATTTTTCATTAAAACTCTCATTTAATAAATTCTCGTATCACTTTCTACTGGTGTCATCTACTATTTTAATATTTTTCTTTCTCCAAATAGCCTAGCATAGAAATCATTGAGTTACAAATTTGACTTTACTTTCTGCCCTCCTTGTTAATCTGCTAAGTTACAATTATTGCATGTTTTAAAAGAAAAAATAATGATCTGATCATCGATTGGACTTTAGAAAGAGACAAAAATACAAAAATCAAAACCTTTAGACTTGACCTAAAAATAGCAAGATAGAAAATAAAAATAGAATACTATGTTTTATTTATAGTTTATGCATTACAAAAAGTAATCTTTCAAGTAATTGTGCCAAACAAAATATGTTGAATGTAATTTTTCCATGTAACTAATTTTAAATAGAGAGTCGTTTAACCACACAAGTTTAATTTTGCTAAATCAAATAGACCATTTGAGGCGCAAAGAGAAGCATGTTTAATAATATAGATAAAATCTTAGCACATGCTTGAACAACAAACAAATATATTAGAACTTAATGAATTTCAGTACATAAGTGGCTTCCATACAGTTGATGAAACTCAGTAGCCTTGATTTGATTTCTAGTAAGCCTAGGCCCGAAAGAATTTGAGAAATATATGGATAAACAAATAGTACTTTTTCATGGGGTGTGGGGGGGTGTAACAAATAGTACTTTACAAACCTAAACCAGAACATAAATCAATAGGTTTACATGTATCTATTTTTCCAAATATCAACGTCATTAATGAACATTGTTTTAAGTTTAGAAAATATTGAGAAACAATTAAAAACAAGCTAACAGTACAGATTTCAGAGTCTCTAAGTATCATTGATAAATTTGTTTAGCTAAACTAGTACAATAACTCCCATTGCAAATAATACTAAATCGTACAATTTCAGTAGTGTGAAAAAATTAATATTAAGAAAATACTTCTACCATATACCTCCCTAGAAGACTAGACCAAGGAGAACCACTGGAGCATGCAAAACAAGATACAAGAATCTATAGATAACATCATAACACCAATTTAAATTTTATTTCACAAGAACAGCATGACATCAAATTCCATAATGGATCATATCAAAAATGTAAAATGAAGTAAAAGGTTAATAAGAGATTAAAGACTTGCCTATTTAACTTTGCCACGAAGTTCTCTGGATTTTTTTTTTTAAAAGCTAATCAGTAACAAAGGCATGGAAATTGCACCCCTGAATCCAATGCCGGAAGCAGTGATGGGACCATTTGTAGGCTTTCAGCACCAGGACAAAAAAGAGGTAGCTTTTACATCAATAAAGCCTGCCACAACATTCAGGAGAGCCACAATGGCAAGCCTTCTGCTTTATGTTTCCTTCAGAATCCCGGACTTGGTCTATTGTATAGTTGTAGTGATATGTCAATTCTTGTAACGGTGGAATATTATCAACAGCAAAGAACATGATGTGAGGCAATCGCTTATCATCATGATCATAGAGAACATTTTGTGCATAAAGGTTAGGAGAACAACTATGATTAATAAACCTCCCAACATTTCCATATTCTGCTGCATCAATCGTAAAACCAACACTTTCCACAGTATCACATACTGAGCTAGATTGCAATCCTGGTATATAATTAGGGAGGTCCTCCCATAAAGAGCGATCATCATAATTATGGCCAATGTCAAAGAGATACTCATCATTACTTCTCTGTTCAGCCTCGCCATCTTGAAGCAACTCTCCTACATACTCACATATAAAGCTACCTGATGTAATAGATTTCAAAGATCTGACACCCCATCCCCTTCCTCTGGTCTTGAAGATCTCCAGTTGCATCCTGATACCCCGCTGACTAACCCTGTTGTGGCATGAGATAGAGCATTTGCAGGAAGGACCACACTCATAAATGAGTGGCTTTGCTTGTACTATAGCACCATTGAAGTTAAATGGAATTTCCCCACCGTTTTTAACTGCACAAGCACAGCTCTCAGAATCTGAGCAACCATCGGTACAATCACAGCCCTTAGGAGGTGTTTTAAAATACCATGAAGGGTAAATGCTTTTTGTAATATACTTAAAAGATATCAGTTGGTCAGTGTCAATCGTGTTAACCACAACAATAGGTATTTTCTCCTTTCCTTGAGATATATCTTTAGCACAGAGACCTTCACGGGTCTTCAACTTTGCAGACCTTCTTAGTTCTTTAAGAGCAAGCTCTGGTTGTCCAGTCATCCTTCTCAATTGGAACTTGAAGACATTAAACCCATGACTGCCTATCTCTTGCCAGTACGATTCCACCTGATAAAGTCCATCGTAAGTGAATGTTGAGACTAACTTCCCCTTTGCATCATATGGATCGCTTCCTTTCTCTTTGAAACCATGAATCACCCTCACGGGTGTCTGAGTATCTATACTGTTCTTCAATGACAGGTTACCACGCTCTAGTTTTTGATCACCTAGCTGTTTCTCTCCTCCAACTGCAGATGTTCCTCCTGAACCAGAATATATCAAAACATCTGAACTGCCCATGTCATCCTGATATGCACCAGAAGCCACTATGCTAGTCGCCAGTAGCATGCCATTTCTCTTGGTAGAATCTATGCCACCCTGAAATGGACGATGAAGACCAACTATTGAGAGTTCCACCCGGAAATGGAATTCATCACCAATTTCAACTCCAGGAACATGTCCTATTATTGGTTCGCCACTGTTCACCCACTCACCATTATCTTTAAGTATTGATGCAGCCTGCAAATCAATCCTGTTAGGTTTACCCAACCTTTTTGACCTAGATTCCTCTCCTTGCAAGAGTTTCCTGCATATAAGCTGAAAAAGTCGCAATGCTCTCTTCACTTTATGCCGTACCACAACTTCTTCACTATCACCTCCTTTCTGACTTGATTCAGGTGGAACAAATGGAGTCATGGTGATACTCAGTTTATTGTCTTCTTCTATCATATTATCATCATCCACGATATGTTCTTTGCTCTTTTGTTTGTATGGAAGTAAGTCCTTTGAAGCAGGGTTCTTGTCTACAAATCTCTTCTCCTTTTTAATTTTGCTCTTAGGAAAAATAGAATCAGAACTTAATGAACTACGTCTCCTTGGAGTTCTCCAAGGGCAATTTTTAGCAGCCATCAGAGCCTGAATAATCACCCTCTCCCCAGTAGCAGCGAATGAATCGTCACCTTTACCTGAAGTGCATTCTTTGCAAGGAATCTCTGCTGACAACTTTCTCTTCTTACTACTATTTTGATTAATCTCATTTTGTCTTTCTATAGTATTTTTCGTCAAGAGCATACCTTTTTCATCCAGTCGTTTGTTTCCAGATTGTGATCTCACAACTAAATGTGATGGATTGCTAGCATTTGCTTTAGTTTGAATGCTCTTGACAGCTTGATCAACTTTGCAAGCTTCTAATATCTTATCAGAACTAGAGCGAACAAATAACTTATTTGATCCACTCTTCTTTGATCCACTCTTCAATAAAGATTTAGCATTTGATCCACTATTTAATGAAGATTTTATCTGAGTATGAGCGCTAGCAACTTCAACTCTGAAGTTCTTGTCAGAATTAGATCGAACTAAAACATTTTTATCAACTGTCGCTCCTTTCACGTTAATTACTTCAGTATTTTTTCTACCAGAAATTCCAACTTTTTCAGAAGATGAAACCTTGACACATCCATCAGTTGTCTTCACTTGATTCATCATTGAATTATCATGATTCAAGCTATTTTCAGCATCTGAAACTTGTGGAGAGACATCTATTCTTATTGATTGCTTCATCAGAGGCACTCTCTCATCTGCATGTAAAATATTTTTAGTAGCTGCAACCAACGCAGTACATCCATCCATTTCTTGCTGCTGTAAGACAGGTTTCTTCTCTCCATAAAAGGTTTTGGCTTTCGGAGAAGCATTTTGTAACCGCATGGGTTCATTACTAATTCCTACTAAATGCATGCTTACTTCATCTGTCTTCCCACACACCAAACTCTTATCATTCAAAGAAATGCGTGCAGTAATAACAGGCTGATTATTATCTTTCCTGATAATGACAGCATTTGGCACAGCATTTGGAACGCATCCAGGAGGAAATTGTCGAATTGCCGAGACTTTTCTCTTCTTTAGAAGCCCATACATCTTCGAAAAGCACAGCCTATTCTGAAACTTGGGTGGCTCTGCGCTCTCCTCCAATACCTGTAGCACTTCCAGTTTCAACTTCTCAGGATTACTCTCAACGTTGTTTTCCAGTACACCTTTGTTCTCCATGACCTGTTGCACGTACAATTTCACCATTTCAGAATTAGATTCTACTTTGTTTTCCAGAACATCCCTGTTCTCCATTACCTGTTGCACTTCAAGTTTCATGATCTGTCCGTTGCTTTCCAGTACAACAGGCATCGAATTAATTGGTGGTTTCGCTACTTCAAGAATCAAAGACTTCACCGAGCCAGGAACATCCAGTGCCTCCTCCAAAGCGGGAATCGTTTCCTCCGCAACATCAGCAGGCAGTAAAACCCTATCCGTGTCAGTGACCTTACCATTCTTCAGTTCAGACAGTGAAGAAGTCTCTTCCATGGGTTTTGGGCACAATTGGACTACATTAGGACCACATCCGCATGGGAATTGGCGGATGGCGGAGACTTTTCTACGTTTGTAATTCGACAGTATTTCGGGCGACATCTGCAACTTCTTATTGAGAGAAAGGCGGGAGCCACTCTCCTAAAAGAGAGGAGGGGAATTTTAAACCCTAGGAAAAAATACGAATTGTGGCAAAAATACAGTACTGATCTGATGGAACGCGAAGTGGGAAGGACGGCTTCGACAGAGAACCGCGGGACCTAGCTTAAGCGCCGGAGGCCAGGTAGTCCGCTTTCCAGCTTCTGAGCGACGAAGACGGCCTCAGGCAATGGATAGGCGAAGAGATTTTGAGAAATTATGCGTAGTTAGGTAGGATGCTTCCTGAGTTTAACCGTATTCCGTCACGTTCGCACACAGCGTGTAAGAGTCTAAAGAGTTTTTTGTTGTACTGTTAGGGCATTCGAGCCCGCTGAGATGACAGGAATTTTTGCTGTCGATCACTCCGCCAAAGGAATTTTTATTTGGTCCGGTGAACGTAGGCCATTAATATTTTAGCGATACGTAACATGAAGAAAAGTCGTCGATCCGATTCGTTGTTTTTTGGGTTCTAGCGCGTGCGTTTTTTTAAATCTTTGACGAGCCAAACAACATCCCATCACCTTTTCGATATATTTCAAATACCTAGCAAATACTGAGTTGTACCTAATTTTTTCTAGCACTACCAAGCAAATCCCTAGCAATACCGAGCAAATCCTGAGCAAATACTGAGTTGTACCTAATTTTTTCTAGCAATACCCAGCAAATACCTAGCAATACCGAGAAAATCCTTAGCATTACCGAGCAAATACTGAGTTGTACCGAGTTGTACCTAATTTTTTCTAGCAATACCGAGCAAAGACCTAGCAATACCGAGCAAATCCTTAGCAATACCGAGCAAATCCTTAGCAAATACTGAGTTGTACTGAGTCGTACCTAGTTTTTTCTAGCCATACCGAGCAAATACCTAGCAATACCGAGCAAATCCTTAGCAATACCGAGCAAATCCTGAGCAAATACTGAGTTGTACCGAGTTGTAGAAAAACTCGGTACAACTCGGTATTTGTATAGTTTTGGTCTTCACAGAGCCGTATTTCTCGTTTTTACAAAGCAATACCGAGCAAATACCGAGCAATACCGAGAAAATCGTGAACATAGCATTCCCGGGTTCTGCTCCGGGTCAAGTCGTCGGGCCGCACGGTAAAGAGTAAGAGCACGTGGCGACATGTTATTGGCGGCCGAACGTACCTCTACGTCAGGTTAGAGGATGTAATAATTGTTCCCGTCAAAGATCTGATCTCGAGTCAGAAGAGTTATCAAAAATTTTATCTAAAATTACATATTTAAAAATATTATGTGGCACGATTCAATTAAAATTATTGTACTAATATTTATTATTGGTAAAAAATGAGGTCATTTCTTATAGAGCACATTACATAGTGAGATTTGAAAAAATATAATAATATGATAGTTTTGCTCAAGAGAATGTTGGTTAGTTCGTTTTGGTCTGTATGATCATAGTTGGGGGATGATGATATGTGGCATCATAGTCAAGCGACGGTGGTCAGTGTGATGCCCCAAGATCACTATTCTCAGGCCGATATTTTCTACAGTGCCGATCGGCCTGGACGATTTCCAATCGTCCTGGACGATCCTGAGAGGAAAAATCCAAATCAGAGAGGAACAGTAAGGGAACGAGGTCTCACAGTCAGAGCGTCCGTAATCGAGGTGCGACGGATGTCGGAAGGACCCTTGCCGGAGGGACCATAGTCAACAAGTGAAGGAGATAGAAGGGATTGTAGTCGACATGCTATGGAGGTAAAAAGAACCATAGTAGGCAGGCAACTAAGGTGGTAAGAACCGTTGTCAAGAGATGGTGGTTAGAGGGACTGTAGTTGATGGGCGACAGAGGACAAAATGACCTAAGTTGAGTGATAGTAGTCAATGGGACCATAATCTAACGGCTGGTCAAAGGGACCGTAGTCAGAGGGAGATGAAGGACAGAGGGATCGTAGTCGACGGGTGACGAAGGTCAGAGGGACCGTAGTTGGCGGGAAATGAAGGTTAGATGGGCAGTAGTTAAACGACGACGATGATCGAAGGGACCATAGTCGACGTGCAATGAAGGTCAGAAAGACTTTAGTTGAGCGATAATGGTTAGAGGGACCATAGTCGGCGGGAGACAATGGTTAATGGGATCGTACTCAGTGGGCGGAGGTGGTTAATGGGATCATAGTGGGTGAGCGATGCTGGTAGGAAGGGATTATAATTGATAGATGACAGAGGTCCGAAGGATCATAGTTGGCGGGCCATAGTGGTCAGAAGGATCATAAAGGAAAGTGATGGTGGTCAAAGGGATTATAGTTAGCGGGCAATAACAATCGGAGGGAATATAGTCATCAAGTGATGATGGTTGGATGAACCATAGTCTGAGAGAAAAGATGGTCAAAGTGGTGTGTCGATAGCTGTCAAGCGGAGGTCAGGAGGTGATCAATATATGGGCGATGGTCTGATTATAGTCGGTGGTTGGGCGGAGGTCTGATGATAGTCGAGTGATAGACGAAGGTCCAGTGGCAGGCGGAGGACAAGCGATGGTATAACGGTGGTTAGACAACATCATTGAGGCAGTGGCCAGGGGGTGGTCCGACGGCTGTTAACTGAAGTTTATCGTCGGCAGTGCTTGGGTAGAATTCTAGGATCCTTGAAACAATAGAGCTCTCTCCAATATCCAGCCAAAGGGTCCCTTCATAAAGAGGACATGGGCCTATTTATATATTCTTGGTAGTGGCATTCTCCTTAAATATGGAGATGACCCAGAGAAAAATCAAAGTGCTCGATTAGACGGCACATGCTAATTATCACGATCATGGAGCATTCTTCAAAAATTTAATTTTCATAATGATGGAGACTATCAAGGCCAAAAATAGAGCCCGAAAGTAACCAGGTAGTTGAAAAGGATTTCCAACTGGCCATCGCCTGCCACTGGATGGATCCCGTGAATGTGGCACGTGTAGAGTGTGCCTCCCCTTTTTTTAAACCGCCTATTTTTTTTCTATTTTATGCAGCCACCTCTCACAAAGTAATAGTGTTGCCTTAATCTGGTGGTAATTTTTCTTTTTTTTTAATTTCCATTGTAAAGTATCAAAAAAGGAAAATAATTATTTTTAGGTATAAAAAGTTTGAAAAATTTTAGAAAATATCTAAAAAAAATTAGAAAAATATTCTCTCAATTTTTCCTTAAAAATCTATAAATACCCCTTAGGGGTTAGGGAGAGCAAGCATAAGCTGGAGGCTTTTAGTGGAAGATCTGGGCCTCTTACATGGGCTCTCGTTCTTCCCAAGAGGATGAAAACTATTCAACAATAGTTGAATACTAGTGGAAACAATTTAGACCCGGTGCTCTTATGCAGGCTCCAGTTCTCCCCTGTTGGGGGAAAAATATCTAGTAAGAGTTGATTATCAGTGGTGGCAATCAAGACCTAGACCACTACAGGCTCCAATTTTCCCCAGTGGAGAAAAACTATCCTAAAGACCTATACCTTTTTACTCAGCCTCTAGTTCTCCCCCTACAATAGAAAATTATCTAGCAAGAGTTGAATACTAGTGGTAGCAATCACGACTAGGTTCTCTTACACAAGCTCCAATTCTCCCCTAGTGGGGGAAAAATTGTCCGATAAGAGTTGAATACCGTTGGAGGAAATTAAGAACCAACCCTCTGCAGGATCTAATTTTCCCCGATGAGGGAAAAACTACCCATCAATAGTTGAGTACCAATGGAGGCAATCAAGACTCCTAAATTAGAGTAGTTAGCTAATGCTAACTTTGCACATACTTAGGTACTAGATATAACCCCTTTTTTTAGGCATCTTAGGGTGTGGGGTAGTTAAGATAACATTTTTTCATTTTTTTTATTTTTCACTTTATATTTGTGATGCTATAATGTGGTGTTTTGTTTTAGATTATTAATGATTGTTTTTATTTTTTTTAGTGGATTAATGAGTGGACACTTGCCCTTAAGAGGTTTGAATTTTTCTAAAATTATCTTTTACATGAAGCCACATTTGCAAAGGGCTAATGAAATGCCATAATTTGTATGAATGCACTCTATATTAGGTCATAAGGATTGCTAAGCCCTTGGGAATGTAGTCATAAGGATTAGATCTTAATGTGAATATAAGTGCTTTATCATAATTGTTCTAACCTATATTTTATAAGGAGCTTATGTAATTTTCTCTTTACTTATGTAATTTTAGTCATGAAAGTAACGTAGGCATATGGTTGTTTCAAAAGGTAGGAAGCCAAATATATAATATGCCCCTATAGATTTTGGATCAAAAGCAGGCATTATGAGTATATTGACACATGCCTTATTATTGGAAAAGCTCTCCATTCTAAGGAGATTATAAATCACACTTATCTATGTCACACTGATTATGACTCTTTCATCTTTCTCTCTTGCATGCCTTATGTGGGATTTCTCCTCTCTTGATTTCTTCCCTTTAGATCGACCTGATGATTGCAAGATATTTGTGTGTGTTGAATAGCCCATTGAGCTTATCTCATTTTACTTAGAATAACCTAGGAATCCCACTATGTACCAAACTAAAAAGAGAATAAAATAGCATCCCTAATCGAGAGTGTTCATAGGTTGAGGCCTAAGAGGGGCTTGTGCTTGTGGTAAATATACACTCAAATCAAAAAAATCTTTGTTCTCTCTGATGTATCGAATGAGGAAAATCTCATGAACCTTAAATCATATATATCATTATTCATCGATATGTATAGGTGCAATCCACTATTTTCTAAGGGTAATCATATGTTTGATTTTAGCTACTCTTTTATTGGCCTGCTCGCATAGAGTGTAAAAGTTTGTAACTATTTTTACCTATGAGATAGTGTGATCGCACTCTTTGTATTTTGATACCCACAAGCAGTTCCTTTTTGGAGACCCACACTTACTAATTTCATAACACTAAAAAATGAATATTACATTACTATGTATCCATTTAGTGACTTAGTTAAAAAATTATAGTTGATGCTGTTGCAAATCTAATTTCATGGCTTATGTTTTGATGAGATTGTACAAACACTATTCTCTTGGACTGCTTGTTGCTTCTACTTTTCGGATCGAAGATCGGAACGATTAAGAAGAAGCCATTATACAGGTATGCGTAGAGTTTAGGGGTTGAGTCAGTCTGTAAATTTTAGTTTATTTTCTTTTACTTATTTTGAAGTCTACTAGTAGGATCAAAACAGACTGAGATACCTAAGTAATCCTGCACACAACACACTTGAGAGATTTAGATCTCTGGTTTTGCTCACATCGGCCTAGGCCGATCCTGGATCGTTCTGGACGATCGAGTTCAAAACAGAGACTCATAATCATGTCTTAATAGGATGCAGCCTTCCATTAACAATCGGCCTAAAACGATACGTGTATCGCCAGACGATAGCTCAA